CCCCAAAACCCCAAAACCCCAAAACCCCAAAACCCCATAATAAGTTCAAAATTTGTAAAATATTATAATAGCAAATGGATGCGTTAAGCTCCTTCTTTAGTTGTTGCAACAAGCGTGAAGAGGTTGACTTTACCAAAAATTGTCAAAATGTGGAAGAAATAAAAGTCTGCAAATACCCCGTAGGTTTTAGCCTAATTCTTTTCTGTAAACCCAACTCTGGGCAGAAACCATCGACACGTTTTGGAGCAATAACTTAGTTGATTATAGTTCATGAAAGAATTTGACGAGTTGGACAAAGCTTTAGCCTTGGTGAAAATGGAAGATAAGGTAAGCCCCTTGAACTTACTAATCCATTGATTCATAATGAACCGAATACAGCAGAAAATTCTAGTAATAGTATGAGTAGCTTAATGCAGTTCTTTCTGTTTAAAATAGTTATGAAATAAACCTACTTTAAAATTCCTCAATTCTTTCTAGAGCGTACTGAAGTGCCTCTTAAAGGAGATCGATGATGAATCGAATAAAGGTTATATTGACGAACAAAAGATGGAAAGGATCATCCAAGAGGTTACTATTGACACTTGTACTGGAAAGATTTCCAAAACCTCTGACAATCTTGTCAGGTTTATTGAGCTAGCATACTTTGAGTGTTACGACCTCAACACCAGCCTCTTGGACAGCGTTAAAGTGAAATGTCTGATCATTCTTTGATGACAAGATGAAGATGATAAATAAAATTAAAGCTTTGATTGACTTGATCCGGAAAGAGAAAACGATAAATGAATGTAGCAGAATCAACAATAAACCGAGCTTTGTCTTTCATTCACAAGACAAAGATACCCTTGCAATACTAGGGACTATTTATTCTGCTGCTGTCATACCCTTCATTGATTATTCCGAAGATGCTTTAAAGGAGAACAAGGATTTTGAAAAATTCAGAGATTATTCAATTACAAATGAGTACATATTTTTAGAATTTGCGAGAGATATGGCTAAAAACAAGATATTTGTACCTAAGAAGAGAAGAGTCTCTAGTAAGAATGCTTAATAATCTCATTTAGAAGTAAAGAAGGAGTATAACACCAAAGAGTTTAGTCGCTTACTCAGAGACTGATGTTCATTAGTCTTTGACACTAGAGTGATCAGGAACAAATTCTACGAGTTTTGAATGAGCCATGAAGAATTATCAATGTTGGAAAAATCCTCTAAAGCTTCTCTTAATGAAGACAAGACGCCTGGGAACTACTCTTGTAAGCAATTCACCTCTCATGATCTAAATGTGTAGATGATTACGGTCATAATAGAAACATTTCCAAACTTAGGAAAGGAAGTGACAAGAGTCAATCTTCGTTCAGCGGCATTATAGAAGAGAATGAGCCTAGTTCAAGGAACAATAATTCCAAAGTGAAGAGAGATCCTTACGGAGAGGACAGCAGTGAGGAGGCTAACAAGAAAAGAAATAAGGGGACAATCAAACTTCGTCCTGAAAATTCCTTAGAAGGAGCTATGAAGGAATATTATAGCGATAAGAAGAATCCTCACGAAGGTATTCAACCCTCTGTTCTGACTATTTAGGTAATATGAGCGAGCACGGGGACAGCAAGGCCTATAACTTAGAATTAAGAGATGATAGGTCAGATAGTGTTGAAAGCTCTGTTTCTGAGTTAAATACTAAAGGCAAATCCAATATTTTCCAAGAAGTATACAAAGCTAATTTAATCAAAGTTCTTCGGACATACCTTGAGGTCCTTGTAGAGGATGGAGTGTACTACTGCGATCCTGAGTCGTGACAGATCGCTACTATAAACAATAATGCTGAGGAAAATGATTGTAATACAAGCAGGAATAGTAAAAGTTCAAATTTCTGCTATTCCTTCCGCTACAGTGCAAATCAGAGTTCAAAAGATTACTGTCCAGTGATGGATGATGCTGAGAGCTATCTCAAACGTAAAATAAAGGAGCAAGTGTCAATGAAGGATTTCTCAGACTTTTATCATGGGACATCTATCACTACTGGGATTATAAACTGATACCTTAGAGTCCTCGAGGTCTACCATGAATATATAAGATATATCTTCGAAGCTAAGCACCCTGAAAACAATTTCGATAGAATCAAATTCTTCGAAACAGATCTAATTGAAGTGTTTCAGAATGAGGAAAATACAGGGATTATTTCTAATGAACTAGACGAAGAATTCCAGGATTTCTACAAAAATGACTTCTTGGTTATCCCCATTGCTGTAAGATAGTTGCTAATATGTAGGAATATGATACCTTTATGATCCTGATCATCTCACTACAAAAGGAAACACCTGAGATTAATCTGTATTACCTAGATATCGTTGATGAAGAGAAATTTGAAGGTAATTAAGTTATGTAATTTTATAGAAAAAATAGATGAATTAGGCGAGATTATACTTAGTCTACTCAAGAGAGCTTATACTACAGTGTCCATGGATTTTGATCATGCTAAGTTGGAAGGAAAGAGTTTACCGTAAGAGGCTTTGGGGGTTGTAGAGGTGAATTTTGAGAAATTTGAGTTAATTTTTGTGATATAGAGTCCCCCACTTGTCTACTTTGGTAAGGAATTTTAGGAAATCGTGTAGATTCAAGAAGTAGAAAGAATTATTTTCCAGTATCCAAATGAAGAAATCCAACACTCAGAATTTGAAACAAGGCATAAAATCATTGACATTTTATCAGCAATAAAAGCATTATAAGGTTCAATCTTTAAACCCTCAATAGGGGTTTTGGGGTTTTGGGGTTTTGGGGTTTTGGGG